TATAAAGAAATCTTTCACGAAAACGGCATAATACATACAATGGCAAAAATTTTTTGAAATTATTCAATTGCATTATTTATAGTTTTAATTTCTGCGAAAAATATTTTTAGGCATTTTTTGAATTCTATTATAAAGCAAAATTAATAAAAAAATTTGTAAAAAAAGAAATTTTACCAAAATTTATTATGCCAAATTTAATTAACTAAACTTAATTAGCTAAATTTAAACATAAAATTTAAATTAATATTTTCAACAAATAATAATTTTTAATTTCTATTCATCTTTATACATTCATATGATTCTTACCTTATATTAATTTCATAAAATTTAACTATTTCCTCTATTGAATAATACTAATAAATAAATAAAAACAATGGATAATGTAACACCATTCGAAATAAATTATTTGGGACTTGATTCTAAAGAGTTTGCCAAACTAGAACTTTTTACTTCAGAACAACGTATAATTGCTTGGCTACTTATTTTAATAGAATATTTTGTTCAATTTATTAATATACCTTTTGGAATAATTTGTATAAGACTTCTATATTGTACTAGTGTAGGGTTAATAATTTTGTAGTGTTTATTATTATTGTTTCAATTTGAGTTTTTATGACTGGCTTTAAATCCATGAACTTAAAATAAAGTTAGATAACATTTTAGAAATCGAAGGTCATTGAAAATGAGTCGGTTCTTTGAATCGTTTTTTAAACTCAGACCGAAAAATCAGGTTTTAAGAAATTGGATTAGGTAGCAGAAAATCCCTGGTATAATTTTATAACCAATTGTGGTTTTAGCTTATGATCAGGGTAAATCGGAAATAACGAAGTTCTAGATATAGGAACTGTCGGAAATCGGAAAGTCTCAAAAGTCGGAACTCGGAAGTTGGAAATCGGAATTCCGATTCACCTCTGCATATGATCAAAGAAGCCGCAATGAAGTCATATCTTACTATGAAATTCCTAATTTTATTACTTATTAATGAATAAATTATTCTCAAGTATAATAAAATTCAAATATTAAAAAATCTTCAACTAAATTTAAAATTCTACTTAAATATATTCAAGCTACTCCATCTATAATGTTCACCGCTCTTCGGAACACCGTTGGGTTCACCCCAGGTCTCGATCGAGACCTGGGGGAACGCGGTGTTCGGGTTTAGTAAGTTTTACCTTCCTTTTTCTGAACTCTTTTTTTTTAACAAAAAAATATATTTATTCTTTGGGGAGGTTTTTGGATTAAAAATTATAAGAATGAAATGAAGAAATCGTGGATGAGGAAAAAAATTCAGTGACAGCTGTTCTTTTTCCTATCACATTCCCCTCCTCCCTCCAAGTTCATCCTTGAACTTTAAAAGTTTAAAGATGTTTTGGTAGCTTTAAGGCGAACTTGGAGGAGGAGGGCCCTACAACGTAACATTATAAATTTAGCTTAAAATTTATTTTATTTATTTTTAATCAATTTTATTTTTTTTCTTTTTCATCTTTTATAAATTTTTTCTTTCTTTTGTATTTTAAAATTAGTATGGGCCAGGTGCTAGAAAAAGAGAGATTTGGGCGGCCAAAAGGAAGACACAAGTTAATGAAAAGCAGTCAGTCCACAAATCGAAGATTTCCTTTTTTAATTTTTTTAAAAATTATTTAATATTTCATCAAATTGAAAATATTTAATTTATTTAAAATTAATTTTATTATTAAACATCAATGTTCACTTTATTATTAATTTTTGTGTTTGTGTATTCTTCCAATGGTCATTCCTTATGTGGGTAATTTTAATAAACATAATTAAAATAATTGTTGTATTAATTAAAATAATTGTGATAGTAATTTTGTTGTTTTGATTATTGTGATTAATATAATAAGAAATATTTATTTTTGATTAAAATATTTGATGTAATTATGAATATATGTGATTATTATAATATTTTTTGAAGTTTTTAATTTTTAATTTTTATTAATTTTTTTTTGTTGTTTTATTTTTATTTTATTGGTTGTTGTTGTTGTATTTCCTTTATTTAGCGGTTGGCTTTAAAGTCAAAAAATCCTGAACTTCCTCTAGGTTTTCCAAAATTCGGTTGAAAACCAAAGTATTAAAAACCGTATTCACTCCGATCTCTTTTGTAGTTATTTCCACCTTCTTATTTTCTTTAGCTTTAATTTTTTCCATTTTATCCTTTTTGTCCTTTTCATCTATATATCCCACAACTGGACGTCTAACTGGTGACATAGAATATTCTCGCGTTTTAAAACCTCTAGCGACGAATTCCTCATCAAAATTATTCCGTCGAGATTTCATTTTCTCTTGATATTTCCCCAATTTTATTAATTTTTCTTCTTCTTCTTTCTCCTTTATTATTTTCTTCTTATCCTCGGGTAACTCTTCAGGAACTACGTCATCTGTTTTATCAACCACTGCTCTTTGTACCACTCGGCTAGCAAATTTTATGAAGTCACTAACACCAGTCTTTTTCTCTTTTGGCTTAGTATCTACTTTATTTTTAATTTCGGCTTCTCTAGGCTTCTTTTTCTCATCATCCAGTTTTTTCTTTTCTATTTTAGCTTCAGATCTCATTTTTACTTCCTTCCCGTAGTTTTCCTTTGATTTTTTTTGGTTTGCTTCAGTTTCAGCCTCCTTTCTTGTTTGCTTCTTTTCGTTTTTTCTCCCTTTTTTCTTCTCTTTCCGCTCCTTTTCCAACGCTTTTCTTTCCTTGTGCAACTTATCTTGTATCTTAGCATGGAACTGATCGCCTTTTTTCAGAATCTCTTCCCATATATCATTATGCTTTGTCAACATGTCGTCTTCATATTTGCTTCTAATTCTTTTCAAACGGTATGCCATATCCCAGTCAACCGAATTAGCAATTTCCTGTTCCTCCTTCTTTCTCTTCACTCCGGCATTTCTACTTTTATTGTCCTCAATATTTTTGGCGATCTTTTTGGCTTTTTCTTTTTCCTTATCTTCCTTTGAATATGGCATAATTCGTTCATCATCCTCGGAAAGTTCAGGTGATGACACATCCTCAAAGTGCCACGGTAGTCTATTTTGTTGTTCAAAAATTATTGAAGATGAAGTTGAATTAGAATTAGGCATTTTTAATATAATAATAATTTTAGATTTAATTAAATCTTTTCTTATCTGAAAATTTATATTCAAATTAGTTTCTTTTGTAGCATTTGAGTTAGTAAATTTTTTAGTATTCTCATCAAGGCATGAGTTATGAGTGCTCGCATTAGTTTTGTTAGTGTTAATACATTCCAAATTGTTAATAATAGCATTTATTTGTATTCGGTCCTCTTCATCACTATCTGACTGCTCCAGATTCGTATCACCAACCACTCTCTTATCCTTTTTATTTACAATTTCTTCCGAATAAAATGGTTTACATCTATCCATGTGAACCAACCATGCCTCATCTGCCAACCCCGAGTCAGAAATTAATAAATTTGGGTGTAGAAGCTCAACAATTATGAAAGGGCCCTCATATTTATCTCCAAACTTTTTAATATTTTCCATTTTCTTCACCAAAACCTTCTCTCCCTTCTCCCAATTTTTCTTATTAATTTTAATTTGTTGCTTTCTCATGATATCCATATTCCCCTGTAACCGGCATTTGACTTCTGATCTTACGAGTTCCAAATTTTCTACAAGATTTTTCACATATAAATTCATATCATTAAATTTTTCTTTTTCAATCCCAAGAGCAGCTTCCGTGGGTAGCTTAGGGGCGAATCCATGAATAACATAAAATGGAGAATTATTTATTTGTTGATTATACGAAGTATTATATGCGAAAATTGCTTGAGGCAATACGTCCACCCACTGTTTACCCTGTTCAGTGCAAGTAGCTATCATATCCGCTAATGTTCTATTAAAACGTTCAACCATTCCATTAGCTGATTGATGATAAGCGGTTGTAGGTTTGTGACAAAAATTCATGGCTTGCGCCAAGTCTGTAAACGTGGATGACATAAATTGGGTTCCTTGATCCGTGACTACTAGCGAAGGTATCCCAAATCGACAAATAATTTCTTTTAGAAATATCTCGGATATTGTGGTTGCGGTTTGATTCCGAATGGGCACAGCAATCGCCCATTTACTGAATGAGTCAACCGCAACAAAAATATATTGATGCCCTCGAAATGATTTCTGAATTGGACCCAACAGGTCCAAATGTACTCTATCGAAGGGTCTTGAAGCTGGTTCTATTGGACAAATCTCCTCTCTACTCAGGTGTACTCCCACGACCTTCCTTTTTTGACAAACTTCACAAATTCTTATCCTGTCGGCGACATCTTTCGCTAATCCTTTCCAATGCATCGATCTCTTAATTTTCTCTAATGTACGATTAATTCCAAGATGAGCTCCTTGCAGTGGATCCTCATGAAATTCATTAATTATTTTATTTTTTATTGCCTGGGGTATTAAAATCTTCCAATCATCTTTTATCTTTCCCCAAATAATTCCATTTATTTCCTTGATATTTTCTTCATTTTCTTGACGTTTTAATAAAATTTCATGATCACATTTTTGTGCTTTACTTAACTCATCAATCGAAATTTTCTTTTCAATTTCTATTGATTTAATTTCTATATCTGCCTCAGGCGGGTATCTCGAAAGATGATCTCCGACCTTATTAAATTTCCCTGGGCGATAAATAATATTCACATCAAAAGCTTGTAATACAATCTGATAGCGGGCTAAACGTCCTTGGAGATCCTTTCTTCGAAATAGAGAGGTCAAAGCGGAGTTGTCGGTAATTACTGTCGAAGTCCCCGCTCCTTCTAAATACACTCGAAATTGTTTTAGGGCGGATACCAAAGCTAAAGCTTCCAATTCCACTACACTATAATTCTTCTCATGCTTATTTAGTGTTCTGGAATAGAAAGCAATTGGATGAACTTCCTTTTTATTATTTTCTTGTAAAAGACAGGCTCCAATGGCAATTCCACTTGCATCGGTTTCTAATATGAAAGGTCTTCCAAATTTAGGTGTGGCCAAAATCGGTGCTGATGTTAATCTATTTTTCATTTCCTCCAAAATTTTATCATGTTTTTCATTCCAATCTCTTGTAGATTCCTTTTTTGTAAGTTCATAGATTGGTGCCATAATTCCTGCAAATCCACGAATAAACCTCCTAAAGTAACTAAACATGCCAATCAATGACCGTAATTCAGCTAGATTTTCTGGCCTCTTAATTTTTAATATTGGTTTTAAATCAGAATCATCCAGTCGCACTCCTCTTTCAGATATCAAGAATCCTAGATATCGAATTTCAGAACAACCCCATCTGCATTTTTCTGCTCGTAGCTTCATTCCAACCTCACATAAAACATTCAAAAAGGCATTTAAATCATTTAAATGTTGATTTTCCGTTTCACTTCCTAGTATTACATCATCTAAATATACTAAGAAACTTCGAGACAATTGTTGTCTCATCTCTTCCATTACTTTTTGAAACGTATGTGGGGCTCCAGCAAGACCAAATGGCAGTCGCAAAAATTCGTAGAGGCCACAATGGGTAATAAAAGCTGTTCTGTCTGTGTGCTTTTTATTCATTTTTACCTGATGAAATCCACTTTGTAAATCAAAAATAGAAAAGATACTCTTTCCCCCAACTACATCAAGTAAATCTTGAATTCGCGGTAATAAATAAGTTTGCTTTTTAGTGCATTTATTCAGAGCTCTATAATCAACTGCAAATCTCCAAGATTTGCCGTCAGCCTTTTTTACAAGAACAATTGGTGATGCCCAGGCTGAGGAAGATGGTTTAATTATATTCTGTTTTATCATTTCCTTAATTTGTTTTTCAACTTCTTCCCTTAAGGCATGTGGTATAGTATATGGTCTTTGTTGAACTGGACGTGTTCCTGGTTCCAGCTCAATTTGGTGTACTATGTTCCCTTTGTATAGACCAATAATACCATCCGATTTTACAAATGCTTCACTTTTTTCATCAACCATCTTTTTTAAAGAGACAATTCCTTGTTTAGACAAAGCAGTACCTTCTAAATTTATTTTATCTGAAATCCTTTCACTTTTCAGTTCCAAATTGGGTAATTGAGGTAATTCTTCTTCCCAATTAACTTCTGGCGAAATATATTCATCTTTTCTCATAAATACTTCAACCGAATTGGCTCCCTTTTCATCAGCATAAATAGGTTCTAAAATTCCAACACGTGATTTTCCATAAATTTGAACATGGGAATTTCCGAAATTTAATATTCTTAAAGGAATTAAACGCGAAGATCCTGGTTGCGAGAGAGTTCTTCCAATTTTTACTGGCCAATACTCATGCTGACTCCATTCTTCCAGTAGGAACTGTTGGGTTGGATCAAAAATTCTATTAACAGTTCCCCATAAGAGTGAATCAGATAATGGGGGCAAAACATAATTTTCCAACAGTCTCACTTCTATTTGTCTTTTTGGTAATTCAACGTATTCCATTGCTGCAATCATTGGTAAAATATCTTCTCCCAATTGAATTGTTTTATTTTTAAAATTTAATTTGATTTCCTCCTTCTCTTCCATTAAGTCTGTCCCAATTACTAAACCTCCAGGACATGATTTATCCTCTGATACCAAGAATGGCCATCTCATTGATGATCCTCCAATTTCAATAGTTACCATTGATGAACCCAAGAATGTAATTGGCGTTGAATTTGCAGCCCACGCCATTGGTACATCTTTTGTGTTTATTTTTAAACCACATCTTGAAGCAACTGATTCTCCACAATAAGATATATCAGCGCCACAATCAATGAGTGCCTTTTGAATTTTTCCTCCAAATAATACTTCAACATAGCATCTCTTTCGACTTTTTACAGAACAAACAGAAGGTATATAATCCAGAATGTAAGCCTTTTCTTCCAGATCATTTAAAGTTGGGGCTGAGGGTTTGGGGTTCAGTTCCTCCAATTCTATAGCATTAACTTTAATTTCTTTTCTTTCACGTCTTCCTTCTTTTCCTCCGAAGAAAAATTTAATAACCGTTCTTCCGATCATTATTCCTTTCCACATGAGCGAGAATAATGTGCGAAATTTCCAAAATAAGTAATTACTAAGAGAGCTGACAAAATTAGAAACGCCATTAAAATCCAATATAGTCTCTGCATAAATGACCACTTATCCTCAATAAATTCCTTTGCTTCACTTATTATTTCACCTCCTTTTTCTTTTATATCCTTAGCAACCTCTTTCACTTTCTCAATACCAAACTCTAGATTTTCCTTTAAATTCTCAAAAACTTCGCCAGTAACATTACTTCCTCTTTCTTTCAATATTTTTGGTAAGCCAAATATTTCTGAGAGTACATCCTCAACCTCTGGCTGTTTAATATCTTCCGGCAATGTCATAGATTGGTGAATTAAATCTGAAAATTTTTCTATGTCTTTCACCTCTGCTTTCTCCTCCTCAAATTTATTTCCAGCTTTAAAAAGAATTCCTGTCTTTACATCAATTATGGGTTTAATTTTTAATGAATGTTGTTCCTGATCAAAATTCAATAACTTTGTTTTATTTAATATAATTGGTTTTTCCTCGCAAGATTTTGTCTTAGACTCCAATAACAAATCAGGGTTACCTGGAGCCGCAAACAATAATTTACCTCTTATTTTTACAGGAAGTAATTCATAACATTTATCTTCAACTTTCTGGTCCCATATTATTTCTTCAACATTGACTGGTGTACAAAATCCTAAATTCCATTTTAATTTTATTCCACTCTCCAAAAATGCTATTAAATCCGTTCTTCCATAAAGGTATCTTGCTGCCTTTGTTGGATTAGTTTCAGCTATAATTTTAGCAATTTCCAATTGTTGATTCCTATTTTGACATGTAATTTTCCACTGTTCTCTCATTATTTGTTCTCGCGCTTGTGCTTCTTCCCATGACAAATAATTTAATCGACTTTTTTCATGATTATCCTTAATTTTATTATCTCTTTCTTTTTGTGCTTCCTCGGGATCAAACAATTCTCTTTTATTTAAAGGGGTAAAAGTCGGTAAAATTTTTAAATTTTCATCCCAATATCCAGATTCTCCTTTTGGTCCAGGTAATCCATTCTTTCCATTAATACCAGGGCTTCCTTTGTCTCCTTTAGGTCCAATCGGACCCCGAGGTCCTTGTAAGCCATCCAGTCCATCTTTCCCATTCAGTCCGGGCCAGAGATGGACGAAAATAAAATTTTGCTTCCACCGAAACGAAAACAAAAAAAAATAAATTCGTCATTGTACGAAACGAAAACGAAACGAAAAAATAATTTTTATTTTTGCGAAACGAAAGAAACGAAAAAAATCCCAATTTTCACGAAACGAAACGAAACGAAACGAAAAAAAATCAATATTATAAAAATGCTAAGTTATCGCCAAATTTTCTCGCCTAATTCACCTTCAATGCAAAATTTACTTTCAAAAATGCCTATTTTATTGAGGTGTGATAATTTTTTCACATCGTTTCACTAGGAAGAATATAGATGAAGGATACTATAGAGATTTAGAAGGATATAGATATCCGTCTTAATCCCCAATACACTCTTAATACATTAAACGGATACGGATAATACTGGGATAACCTGCATAATTGGATTTCGATTGATATAGAGGGAGGCGAATTTGGATGGATTAACAGCGATATTGTGGGATTTGGATGTTTAAAAGGGATATTGGTTAATTTGGGAAATATTGAGGGATTTAGAGAATATAGAATGATATTTTCAGAACAATGGTTTTATCAGAGAGTAAAAGGGAAATCAAGGGTTTATGTTTCTAAAAAATTTTTCGGTAGGTGTAGATAAACTTTTGCACCCCAGTGTATATCTCCTCCAAAGCCTCGATTTCCCCTTGATCTTTCATGACTCATTGAACCAATGGGACTGAACCGAGCTATATAAAAGGGGGACCAGTCTATTGATAAGATCTATATCCTAATCACTAAAGTCTCGACTTTTCATCCATTTTTCAGCGCCGCAGGCGAAAATTTTGAGAATTTTTGATGAACAGACAGTAAACTCTGTTCATTTTTCCGCGCTGCAGGTAAAATTTTTTGAAATTCCAGTTCCTAGGAGAAAAATTTTCAATTTTTGACTTAAAAATACGACAAAATTTGTCTAAAAATATCGAATATTTTTTCGTCATTTTCGTTTAAAAATGGAGTTTACGAAACGAAAACGAAACGAAAATATATTTTTAATGAAATACGAAACGAAAGAAACGAAAAAAATTATTTTTAAACGAAACGCGAAACGAAACGAAAATCATCAAAAATCCACGAAAATCTACGAAAACGAAACGAAACGAAAAATTTTCGTCCATCTCTGGTCCGGGCAATCCTTCTTTTCCTGGCCTACCAGGTATTCCAATATCGCCTTTCTCGCCTTTAAGCCCTGGAGCAGCGTCCTGGCCCGCTGCTCCTTTTGATCCTCTCGGTCCCGTATATCCCATATCTCCTTTTTCTCCAGGGGCTCCTTTTACTCCTTTAGGTCCAACATATCCCATGTCTCCTTTTTCTCCAGTGGGTCCAGGTCTTCCTTCTGGGCCAGGCCTTCCTGCATCTCCTTTCAAATAATTATTTTTAATTTGTTGTTGTACTGAGAGACGATAATTTGGATCAATGGTAGGTGTTGTATACATTCTTTTATTATGAATAGTTGCTGTTGTGGTACTTAATATTGGCTTTTTTGTGGTTAATATTGGACGATTTGTTGTCTTTATTGGTTTAATAGTTGGTGGAATTGGTGTTGTTGTAGTAGTCGTGGTAGTAGTACGTCTAAAATTTTGTTTTTTTGTAACTTGCCTTTTTTGAATAATTCTTTCTGTTGTATTTAATATTAATATATAAACGTCATTGTCCATTGGCCAAGCTTCATCGGGAACTCCTAACACATCTGAACTTTTTGTAATGTTCTCGGACGGCGCGAAAACATATTGTAATTCATTAATTTTAACTAATCCATTTACAGAATTATTTTTGTAAAATATTTCTGCTTGTACTGGGCCAAATGAATAATGTGTATAAATATAATCTTCAGATGGAGCGTTCCAAACAATAACCGAAAATAATTTTTCTTTATCTGTAAAAGAACCATTTATAGTATGAGCCTCAACAGATTTCGAGACTCCAAAACTTGTCTCGAATCTTTTGTTCATTAATGCACCCTCTCCTTCTTCCAGAAAATAATGTCTATCCATAACACATTGCTGTCCAAACCACGCATATTTTAAGTCATTATAAAATATTATTGACCATAACACTTCATTAATTCTTTTTAATTTTGTGCTTTTAAATAAATTCCAACAACTTTCCTGACTCAATGAAAATCTTTCTTTTTTAATTGGCAAATCTTCCCGATATACTAGAATAGAATCCGTA